AATTCGGTTGATATTAAATCCCAATTTGTTTTATAATAAAAACAATTATAAATATATATATATATTTATATTCAATAATAAAATCAATTGGAAACAATGTACCTCAGTTTGCGCATCCATATTGATGATGGAATTAAATCCGGAACAACAAGGGATGATATCCTCGGGCTTTCTCAAAGCCTGAAACAAAAGATCAACACATAAATCGTTATTGAAGAATTTATCGATTAATCGAATGCATCAACTACTCATAGTTATTGGAATATTATCCTTCCTTCATTCCTTTCTTTCTTTTCGTTTTTTTTTTTTTTTTTTAAAGAATCATAATATTGAAACATTTGATATTATTTTTTGATTAATTGATTGTTCTATTTTTCTTTTTTGTTTCTTTTTTTTTTTCAATACAATCCTTCACTTTATTAAACCAATCCGATTCGTATACATGGTTATTCCATAGGGAAATGAATAATAACGTTATTTTTATTTTTTTGTAATTAATAAATTAAAAGTAATATTTTTTTTTTTGTAAATATGAAAAATATTACAAATCGAAATAATAACTAAAATACTTTTTTTTAATCTTGCAATTATTCGATATCTCCTTATTACTTATCTAAATAAAAATATGACATTAATAAAATAATCGATAATGTTATTAAAAAAAAAAAAAAAGAACCTTAGAGATTACTTTAAATTTATAAAATAAATATAAACGAAAGAGAAAGAGGAAACATATAAAATTGCCAATAAATTTGGAGTATTAAGAATTGTCCGTATAACTTTTCGCTCATCCCTTGATAAAAGTAAAAATCTATGGGGTGAAGAAAAATTAATTGAAAAACTAGCACGAACCAAACGAATTTCGTTCTAGACGTTTTCAGTTTATTTTTCAAAGGTATCCAAGTATTTTTTTTTCTTTTCTTTTCTTTTCTTTTATTTTCTTAGGGGAAGTCACTACGTCAGCGATATTTCTTCTCGATTCGTTTTAGTCGCGATAAAGAGGACGATTAAATTGAACAAAAAAAAAGATTTGGATGAAGAAGAAGAAGAAGAAGAAGAAGAGAAAAATGAAAAAAAGGAAAAGAAGGATACGAAGTGAAGTTTCATTCTAATTTTTTCACGTTCCCGTTACGAATCCCATTTAGTTTCGATCTCACTTAATTCTTCTTCTTAATATTTTTCTATTTCTGCTTCTATTATATACTTTTTCTACTTCTTTATCGAGAAAAACGAATCGATTCAATTTTCAATACGAAATGAAACCTATCTCGAGGTCTCGACGAAACAATGAATGAATTAGAATAAAAATATCAAAACAAAATATGCAATTAATTTTGTACAATTTCAAATCTCTCCATTGTTCTTTATTTTCCAATAAACCATAATAATAATCTTTAAGACAAATGTATGTATGTGTGTGTCTTTTAAAATGTGTCTTCGTTCGGATATTATAATAATCTCGTTTTGTTTTTTTTTCTTACGAGCTTACGTTGAACGTTTTCTAATATAATTATAATTTCTAAATGTTATGTAATATCACTTTTAATAATTTATTCGTAATAAATTTTATGGTATTTTAGGTTCTCGTATGATTTGAATCATAATTTTTCCTAGTTGCCTTCACCAAGAAAGGATCCTCTACTGGGATTCGATCCACTGATGTGGTTAGTCGAGAGACAACGTCTCTACTGCCTGAACTATTCAGGGACTACCGAATTTTACAGTATTAATATATATATATAGTATCATTACATTTTTCATATTTTTGTATTTACCTGATTAAAAAATTCAATATTTTATTTATCTTTTTCCATATTTTTATATCAAGTCTTGAAAAAAAAAATTCAAACAACGATTATGATGGTGGTAATGTATATTTAAATATACGATTAATATATTTAATATATTTTAATAATATA